ATGGAAGTAAAATCACTTAGAATTTTAGAAGGGTCCTGAAGTTGTTTTGGTAACAGTTCAACATTGAGAAAATATATTATTGCATTCAAATATTGAGTGACACAATTAATAATTTTCACTCTATCAACCAAGTCAACTGAAATAAGAAAAATAATTTACTTTCTGACATAATATTAAATGAATAACTCAAAACTCAATTTCAAGTTAGAGTATCCTTAAAGTGGCGATCAATAATAGTCTGATTCAATCAAAACATAACACTAAATAAATCAACTTTTGATGTAGACAATCTACCAAAGTTAAAAATTGCTTTAATGTGAATTTCGGCAAGTTGCAACAATTGCCTTAAAAGAATAGTAAAGGGATGCTCAGGAAAATGCAGCGCTTGGTAAGCAATAGCTTCACCCAATGTTGTCACCAATAAATTACACAATCCATGTAACTAGTTAAAAAACATAGTTAACTATATTATAATTATAAGAGTAGACCATTTGCAGTGTTAGTATTTGTAAGCTATTTTTTTTATTGTAAATTGGTCATTATTTTTACAGAATAAAATCTAAATTTAAAAAGTAGCATATTATCTAATATAATTAATAATAAAAAATGATGTCTGAAACTTGTCAACTCATATATCTATTTACAAATAAATAATGGAACATAATTAACAAAGAATCTAAATAATAATAGTATAATTTTTATAATATAATTTTCATTTATATTTACCAAAAGTTATTTTAATACAGTCTGTAAGCTGCATACGTTTGAATAAATTTTCAATACGCAGCATCTGAGAGAAACAATCATTTAACATCCTTATATTTTTTTCACCAACTAGCGTACCAGAACAGTCAAATAAAGGAACACCTAAACAGGATTAAAATTAAAAATTATAAATACATATAAATACGAAAAAGCATATTGAAAAGTTTATATTTACATAATTGATCAGCATATTGTTTGACAAGATTGATATGACTCCAAAGACATTGCACTAAATGTAATACTCTAACTTCACTAATAGTTTCTTTTTTCCATTTTACAACATACTTATCAAAAACTGACATCAAATTGTTTTCTATTAAGATAGATACTGTAAAATGTAATTGATCGAACTAAAAAAAAATCAGTTGTTTGTAAATTATTAATAAATTTATATTAGATAATAAGTTTAAGCCAAAACAGATTCCAAATGAACCAAGCTAATACAATATTTTATTATTTACCAAACTGCAACATTTGTTATCACATGTTATATAGAAAAAGAATGGTCTTAAATTTGTTTGTAAGCACTGGCGATAAAATAAACTTGGGTTTAAAAATATATTCCTGTTTTTTAAAATCAATTTATTTAAAACTTCTTGTTGAACTCCAACATGTTTATATCTAATGATTTCGGTGTCTAATAAGCAATCACATTCTGGAAAAAATATATTAAAAAGTATGTTAATAATATACTCACAACAATCAGCAATTATAAAATATTATTGGTATATAAGTATTGTTGTTACCAAAGTAAATTGAAGATGGATAAAAGAATTTGTTAACATTATTTTTGAAAGTAGAACCAAATGAGACCAATGTTTTGTTAGAAATATTGAAATCTAAATAACTGGCACAATCAGGCAATTTCACAAAACTAGCATAAGCATTTGACACTTTAAGATTATTGAAAGTTATTAATGGCATTTTGGCTTTATACCACTGATTAATATCAAACAAAAAAATGTAAGATTTAGGACTGGCATCTAAATTTTGACGAATTTCCATAAACATTGCCAATAATGTTATTCCAACATTTTTAGACACATCTAAAAAATATTAAAAACATCAAATATGATAATAATAAAGCAACTTATTCAACTATTATATCATATTACAGAAATTTAAGTTACCATTATTTTTTCTGGCCAAGGCGCCATTACATAAAGTTAATGCAGATATACATCGACCAATTCCACTTTCTTTACGTAATGACATCTTTAATGCAATTTTGTAATCTTTATAAACCTTCAAATTTACAAACATAATATTTTACAACAACATTTTTTAATTTGATGATTTGTAAAATTTAACTCACTCTGTATGAACTATGGCCATTTGACATCATAATTCTATGTTCATAGGATAAAGCAATCATCATTGCATTCGGAAGACTAGAATTATCTKATTGAATAATCCAAAGATAACATAGTTTGTTTGATTGATCAGCTTGTTCAAGAAAAGTAATATGGGTTATTGGCATAAAGCATTCAGGTTTATTTAATATATATCTAGATAAAATAATAAAAATAAAAATAAAATATACACATTATTTATACAACATGTACTATGTAAGCAGTTTCATGGTTTAATACATCTATTCAGTGTTTGGTAAGAATGTCGTTCATGAACGCACGTTCACGCGTTCACGTTCATATATAGTGAACGATACGTGAACGTCACTCGTTTTTTGCAAATAGAACGTGAACGTGAACGACGTTTATATTTTTAACGAAATTGATCAATTTTTAAGACGTTCAATTTATTGACCATTTAATAAATAWTATATGTATAAAATAATTAATTATATTATAATAATAATATTTTCATTTTTCCCATTATAATTCCTACAATATTTGTTTAATTGCAAAATATATTCCAATGTCCCCGGCTAGAAATACAACAATAATATTATGATTTCCACGAATTTGTAATAAACCTAATCGRTTTATCATGAATAGGTGAAGTGTATATCTATYATGGTGGACGGGGATCGTGTATAGGCATGGGCTTTATCGTTTATCATCTGCATCGTCAACTATTGAAAGTTAATTACTGGGAATCACAAAACGACAGTGACGCTCGGTCACGCAGAACACGCATGAAATTTATTTATAGTTGTGATTGTTGTGAATGTATACAGTGTACCTACTGTGGTCAGTGACTTATCAGTTATACATTTGAAATTGTTCAGTTTTCACTGTTTCAGTATCTTTCTAAAGCTCTACAGAAAACTATTTGCAAAGTTAACAAAACTTTGGTCAAAACAAAATCAGTCAACGATTGTGGCAGAAAACATTCATGAAGTACTTAATGTGTATTTGAGAGTACCTAATAAAACAAGATGGAATTCCACCTATGATGCATTAATTCAATTAAAAAGAATTATAAATGAACCTGGTGACTTAGAAAAATTGAACCATGTCATGGATTTTAATACATTACCAAGAATATTAAACGAAGCTGTATTCATAAATGAATTTTGTGATATATTTGGACCAGTAGCAGAGTCCCTAGATTTCTTACAAGGTGAAAAAGCCATGTATAAGGGATATCTGCTACCGACTTTACATGCTTTAGAGAAAAAAATTAAAAGTAGACAATGTAAACCTATGACAYATTGTACACTTCTATTAGAAGCTGTTTTAAGATCATTAAAAAAAAGGTTTGTAAGATTAAATTAGAAAATTAAATGAATAATTATTTAATATATTAGTGGTTATTCTTAATTAATATTACTAATTACTATGTAACTGGTGTTATAGATTTGATCACATATGGATGGAAAAAGATTTAGTAATTGCTGCATGTCTTATTCCAAGATTTAAACTAAATTGGCTGGAAGGTGAAGAAAAATTGAATGCTGAATTATTTTTAAAAACTGAGTTTTTATACTCTGAAAATGAGGTATCTGATGGT